ACCGTACGACGCCGACCGTCATCGTCCGTACGGTTGGTACTGTAGCGTCCGTACGCCGCCGTCCGTACGGCCCGTCGTGCCGTCATCGCCACTTCGCCGGCCACCGTTTTTCCTCCCGTCCGTACAAGTCCGTACCGCGTGAACAGTACGCGTGAACAGTACGCGCCCCCCCGGGAATTCCGCCGCCGGTTTCACTGTTCACCAGTGATCGGCCGCCGTTCCCCGTCGCCGTGGTCCAGAAATTAAGTGAGTAAAATTCCTAAACCCGGATTAGGACTGTTAGTGCATTTTTCTGGACTGGTTTAGGTATTATCGGTACAATTTGGACTGGCTTAGATAGTATCGTGTGTATTTCGGATCGGGTTGAGGACGGATTGGTAGAAATTATCATTTGGAAATTTAGTGGATTAATGAGAATTATTTGTGGAGATTAATTGGATTAAATGACCAATTTAGGAGCCCGTTGGAAAATTACCGGGTATGTCCGGATTGACTGATTGTACATCAATTGTGCTTAATTGTGGTTGATTTCGTATTGCTATGTCGTATGTGGTGTGGCTGATTTTATGGAGTGCAATTGGCCATTGTTTTGGTTTACAATGATTTACTGATTTGTGAATCGCACGTTAGGCCACACGGTATTAATAGGGCCAATTAAGCACGTGTTGTGATATTGGGTGTCTGAATTATATTGGTGCTCGTGGTGCATTGCATTGCATAACATGGACACGCATTGCGTATGCCAAGAGTGAGGCATGTGATGAACTTGCGCGAGAATGCGTGTCTGCCATGAGCATGTGATCACCTAAAATATCCTGAAGCGTTATACGCTGGGTTCAGATAATAATGAGTTGTGTGATCACCTAAGGACCTTTGGGTCATGACCTTCGGGTCGATACCGTCCTCATGCACTTTGAAGCAGGACGATGCCCGGTATGTCCGGAAGACGACCATCCTCATGCACTTTGAAGCAGGCTCTGGTTCGTAAGGAGATCAGTATTGCGCCTCATGCACTTTGAAGCAGGCTAGAGACACTGGGCCAGATCGGTTGCTGCGCCTCATGCACTTTGAAGCAGGCTAGACGCACCGGGCCGTGAATGTTGTTGACTCGAGTCGTCGTAATAAATAATAAATTGAGCGATTGCCAGTGTGGGCCAGTGGGCCGGGGGAAATGCGCGTGACATGTCGATGACATTTGCAGGCATGAACATGCATGGACTGGCATGCGAGTATGTGAGACTCGGTGCATGAGCATGTGATTGGCGTACGTGTGATAATGTGTGCCACGTACGTGCCGTGACTATTATATGTTGATCTGTCTAACCTGCAGGGTCAGAGAATGGTTTGCTTATTGTTGTATTGTGATTTAAATATTTGTTTCCGGTCAGGAGATTGCATGCTAGCCTAGCCTAGGTTTAGGGGTTGAACTCACTAAGATTCGTCTCACGGTTGTGTAAACTGAAACATTTCAAACCCCCAGCCGTAGGATGCCGAGGAGAGCGCTTCTTTTTGGTATACCGCAATTCATCCAGCGGTCATCTAGTGTGGACCCTTGTGGGGATGGACCTGCAGCCATGGTCGAGAGAGCTGAGGAGCCCGAAGTGATATACGCGGACCCCTTTTTACTGAATGGTTGCTGACTTTGTGTTTTCTCGGCCGTTGTATAAATGAATTTTGTAAAAAGTTTCCTATGGTAATACTAGTATACATATTTTCAGAGGTGCTGTTTACTTAATGTACTACCTTGGTCTCATGTGTTTTATTGTCAGGGTGTATATATATATTTATATGCGTGCTTCTGCATGTGTTTGATCTCTGATTGGGCATTGGGTCGGCGATGCTTCCTGGGAGCATCGCACCAAAATCAACCGTGACGGGATGTTGCGTTCCAATGGGGTACGGGGCGTGACACAGCCCCCCGCCGGAATCCGGCCGCCACCCCACCCGGCAGGATTCCGGCTGCGAACCCCCCCCGGCCGGAATCCGGCCGCCAACCCCCCCTGCCGGAATCTCGCGGCGGCGACCCACCCCGGCCGCAACCCGCCACCCGCGCAGCCGCGCCCTCCCCACGGCGACCCCCTGCGGCGACCCCCACCCCACCCGACCGCAACCCCTCCCCCGCGCAGCCGCGACCCTCCCCCCAACCGCACCCCCTCCCCACCCCACGCGGCCGCGACCCTCCTCCCCGCCGCAACATCCCCTCCCCCGCACCCACTACCCCGCGCGGCCGCGACCCCATCTCCATGCAAAACTACAAGGCCGCGAGCCCTACCCGCCGTGCAAAATGCCACCCTCGGCCGAGACCACCTTCGCGGCGACAAAGACAGTTGAACGGTGAAGAGGAGGAGAAAAGGACGGCAAGCACTTACCACGGACGGCGAGGCGGACAGCGAGGGCGGCGACGGCGTGGGCGGCGACGGCGAGCGGGCGGCAACGGCGAACATGACGAGAAGAGAAAGAAATTTTGTCGTGCTCAAAATACTCCGTAGACACAAACGAGCTAGTTGCCGAACCAAATAAAAGCGTTTCTATCTTTTCGTTGCAAAATTCGTCGGAAATTTCCAACGAATTTTGCAACGAAATTAAAATTTCCAATGAATTTTCCAACGAAATCCAAATTTCCAACGACTTTTGCAACGAATAATAAATTCGTGAGCAAATTTGTTGGAAATTTCCCACGAAATTTCCAACAAAATTGAAAAATTAGAAAAATTCCAGCGATTTTTTTTGAAATTCCAACAACATTTCCAACGAACAATAAAATTCGTTGGAAATTTCCAACAAAATTTCCAACAAAATTTCGTTAAAAAGTCGGAAGAAACAATATTTAAAATTCGTTGGAAATTACCAACGAATTTCCCAACGAAATCAGTTAACAATTAAATTATTTACCGAAAACTAAGAATTTGTTGGAAAATCCGTTGGAAATTTCCAACGAATTTTCCAACGAATGTTATTTCGGCGGAAAATAAAAACTTTTAAAAATTCATTGGAAAATTCGTTGGAAATTTCCAACGGATTTTCCAACGAATTTTTAATTAACAGATAAACGGGCAAGTTTATATTCGTTGGAAAATTCGTGGGAGATTTCCCACGAATTTTCCAATGACATTATTTAACGATTAAATTAATAAAACAAAAATTTAAAATCGTTGCAAATTTCCAACGATTTTTGCAATGAATTTGATTCTGCACAAACAATTATTTACCTAAAACTATGAATTCGTTGGAAAATTCGTTGGAAATTTCCAACGAATTTTCCAACGAATTTCATTTGAGCAAAACATAAAAACTTTTAAAAATTAGTTGGAAAATTCGTTGGAAATTTCCAACAGATTTTCCAACGAATTTTCAATAATCCGATGAAAAGGGCAAATTTTAATTTGTTGGAAAATTCGTGGGAAATTTCCCACAAATTTTCCAACGAAATTAGTTAACAATTACATTAATGAAACAAAATTTTCAATTCGTTGGAAATTACCAACGAATTTCGTGGGAAATAAGTTAACAGTTAATTTATTTATCGAAAACTAAGAATTTGTTGGAAATTTTCCAACGATTTTTCCAACAAATTTTAATTTCGCTGAAAAAAAAAATTTAAAAATTCGTTGGAAAATTCGTCAGAAATTTCCAACGATTTTTATTTCACCCTAAGAACTTTGTTTATTAAAATTTTGTTGGAAATTTCCAACAAATTTTGCAACGTTTTTTATATAAGCGGAAAAAAAAGATTTTTTTGAAGGAAATTATTACAGAACAATAACAACAGAAATATTAAAAATTGCGACAACACCAAAATACGAGTGTCGCATTACCACTAATAATTAGACATAATTAGTAAAAAGTCTCAAAAATCATAATCTTCATCTTCATATGCATCTTCAACTTCATTTTCACCTTCTTCTTCGTCATCATCTTCATCTTCATCTTCTTCCTGATCATCATCTTCATCCTCTGTCTCAAAATCACATTGTGTACCAACTTGAAAACTTGATTCCCGAATTTCAGTTGGATCTACATCGATCATCGCATCACATGGATCTCGTAAAGTAGGAATGTTGTATTCAGCTATTTCATTGATGTTACGAACTTCCTCTTGTTGATATGCCGTGTCCTTCCAGTATTCTTCGATTTTCTTTCTTGCTTTGGTTTTACATACAGCCCATCAATCAGCTTTGTCACGCTTCAAACTAGGATATGATGCATAATAGACTTGAATTGCTTGTCGTGCCAAGACAAATGGTTCATATTTCATATATCTTTTCTTGTGATTTATTTCAACCAAATTAAATTTGGTATGTACATTCATTCCTTTCACGGGGTCGAACCACATGCACTTAAATAAGACAACCTGCATTAACGGTCCATGGTACTCGATCTCTATGATTTCATCCAACAAGCCATAGAAATCACCTTGCGAATTGCCACCATTGGATGACTGAACACACACCCCACTATTCATTGTAGCCTTTCCCATTCCATATTTGCGAGTGTGAAAATTATACCCGTTAATGAAATATGCTGGCCAAGTTCGTACTCTTGACTTTGGACCCCACGATAGATGATATAGCATTCCTTGATGTCCAACTTGAGCATCAATACTGTGAACCTAAGGTGACACACACGCAATGTCAATAATATATATTTCAAAATATGATGTATAAAAAATTCGAATAAATAGGATTTCGTCCATATTCAACTTACATATGTTTTGAACCATGTTGCAAATTGTTCCTGGCACAAACGGTCAAACTCATTTGGTGGTAGTCCATACATTGCATTTCGGAAATTCCTAGTAACAAATACCATTTATGTATTAGCAACGGTTTGACACACATGACGTATACGTACAAATGTACACTTACTCGAAGTATGGCTCAACTTCTGGACAGTTCAATAGAATATATGTATGGGCTGCCAGCTTTTCTTCGCCTGTTAAGTGACGAAACTTACATGTGCCGCTAAGTCAACCCAAATAATTGAAAATAGAGAATGATTTGCAATTGGGATAAATGGGACCCTCGTAATTTCTTCCAGCTCTCCGCCTCTTGCATTGCACATGCGGCTCAAAATAGTATGATGCAAATGTTGTCACTTCTTCCACAATATATGCATTACAAATTGAAGCTTCGACACATGCCTTATTCTTCACTTTTTTCTTTAAATGATACAAGAACCTAGTTGCAGTAGAAAAAAGTTTATCGTAACATAATATGTAATGAAGTAATTTCACATTTAATTTAAAAAAAATTTACCTCTCAAATGGATACATCCATCGAAATTGGACGGGACCTGCAACTTTGGCCTCATAAGGCAAGTGAACTAAAAGATGCTCCATTGAATCGAAGAACGATGGAGGAAATATCCTTTCTAAGTTGCAAAGAATAATTGGAATATCTCTCTCTAGTTTCTCCATGTGTGATGATTTCAACGTTGTTGAGCAAATATCATGCAGGAAATTACTTAACTCTGTAATGGCGCCCCATACAAAGTTTGGTAGAACTTCCTTGAAGGCTATCGGAATTAGTCTTTCCATAAATATGTGACAATCATGACTCTTCATACCTGTCAACTTGCATTCATTCATATCAACGCATCTGCCGAGATTAGAAGCATATCCATCAGGAAATCGCACCGATTTCAACCATTGACAAACGACCCGTCTCTGCTCCTTGTCCAATGTATAAACTGCTTTGGGTTTCGGTCCCCTGCTGCTTTCATCCGCATCTAGTGTTGGTCAATCGCAAATATCCCTCATATCTTTTCTTGTGTTCAAGTTGTCCTTTGTTTTTCCAGTGACATCCATCACGGTATTTATGACATTGTCGAAAACGTTCTTCTCTATGTGCATGACGTCAAGATTATGATGAATAAGATGGGAATTCCAATATGGTAGATCCCAAAATAAACTGCGTTTAGTCCACTTATGTGTACATCCGTACGCAAAAGTTGTGCCGTGAGGGTTTTGAACAACAGTTGAAAACTCTTGCACGCGTTCCCAAATTTGATACCCGGTCAACCTCAATGGTGGATGTGTTCTTTCGATCCTATTCTTGATGAACTCCTTTTTATTCCTTCTGAATGTATGATTAAACAGCAAAAATTGCCTGTGACAATCAAAATAGCGGGCCTTCTTACCATGTTTTAATCTAAAAGCCTTCGATCTCTCCATACAAATCGGACATCCTAAGATCCCAGCTGTACTCCATCCAGATAACATTCCATAAGCATGGAAGTCATTTATCGTCCAAAGAAGCGCAGCCTTCATTATAAATGTTTGGTCGGTAGAAACGTCATACGTAGGGACACCTTCAACCCATAGCCGTTGTAACTCTTCAATCAATGGTTACATATAAATATCTATGCCCTTTTTCGGATTTTGCGGGCCAGGCACAATCAATGTCAAAAACATATAAGGTATCTTCATGCACATACCGGGTGGAAGATTATACGGAGTTAAGATAACTGGCCAACATGAATAACTTTTTCCTGATTTCCCAAATGGGGCAAATCCATCAGCACACAGACCTAACCTGATGTTTCGAGGCTCTAGCGCAAACTCGGGGTATGTTCTATCAAAATGTTGGTATGCCTCTGCATCTGAAGGATAACACATTAGATCCTCTTCTGTTTCATGATTTGCATGCCAAGTCATGTATTCAGCAGTGGCTTGCAACGCATAAAGCCTTTGCAACCTGGGGATTAAGGGTAAATAAAACATTTGCTTGCATGGTCTACGCTTCTGATTACGACCCTGCCTCCTGTTAATCTTGTACATAGGTTGGTTACAGAATTTGCAAGATTCTGCATATTCATCATCTCTCCAATATAACATACAACCCATAGCACATACATCAATCCGTACAACTGGAAGACCTAAGTTATCCACCAACTTTTTCATATCGTAAAAGTCATTTGGCATGATGTTATCACGAGGCATTGTTTCCCGCATTACTTCAACAAAAGAGTTGAAGCAATCCACAGACACATTATGCTCTGCCTTGATATTTAACAGTCTTGCTATCACTGATACCTTCGTGTGGTTGTCACAACCTGCCCATAAAGGTTCATCTGCCTTTTCCAACATTTCCCGGAAATTATTACATTGAGAAGTTCCGTCACACACATTCTCATCACAACCTGTAACTCCTATCTCTTCTAATTCTGCTGCATGACTAGTTCCCACTTGTTCAGGTGCAGGAGTGAAACTAGTACTTGTATGATTCAATTCTGAATCCAAGTTATGACCGGCTTCATCAAACACCATCCCCTGATATGGGTTTAATTGTTCGAAATAGCTACATTCTTCCCTAACTGAAAATTGATCGCTTCTTCGATATCCGTCATCATATATAAATGGTTCACCATGGCTAGTCCAATTATAATAGTTCGGAGTAAACCCAAATCTACAAAGATGTTCTCTAATTTTATCAATGTCTAGAAATTTTCCATTACTGCACTTTTTACATGGACACCTTAACTTGTTTCTATCCATGAACTCATATTTACTACTAGCAAAATTCAAAAATAGTTCCAACCCGATACGAAACTCATTAGTCAATCCTCGCCGTCCAGGTAAGTTCTTATTATACATCCAACCCCTGTCTCTTTGTATTGTGTCTGTATAAAAATAAAAAAAATTATCCTAAATTATTCAACATATCATATATATTGTTTTAATATTGTTAATTAAAACCATAAAATGCACAAAATTACAATTATGTTGTTTACGAAACAATTACTTTAAACTTGAAAAATTTGGAAAATTTACCATGTCAAGAAGACTTACCAAGTATTTGACCGAAATCTTTGTAGTAGAAATTGGACAATTTGATGAGAATTGCAACGTTCAATTGGATTGCGAGACTTTCGAAAGGACACGTACCTAAAATAAAAAATAATTACATAAGATTCGTCTATTAAATACATTTTATTTATTCCTTTTTTTTTCTTTTCCTTTTTTTTCACTTTCTTCTTAGCCGGGCCGGCGACCGACGGGGTCGCCGGCCATGGCGAGCTCGGCCCTCGCCAGTCCCGGGGAGGGCCAGCCTCGCCACCGGCGAGCTCACCTAGAACTCTCATAGATATGGGCAAATTTCCAACAAATTTTGCAACGATTTTCTATTATGCCGAACAATAACGTGTTATTCAATTCGTTCCAAAATTCGTGGGAAATTTCCCACCAATTTTGCTACGAAATGTGTACAAATCAAAATTACTGAATCGGTCTTTTGAATTCGTTGCAAAATTCGTTGCAAATTTTCCAACGAATTTTGAAACGAATTTATATTAACCGGAACAAGAAGGTGTTTTTTGACTTATTTGCAAAAATGATGGGAAATTTCTCACGAATTTTGCAACGACAGTAGTACACAACAAAATTAATATACCGAATATTGACATTCATTGGAAATTTTCAATGAATTTTGCAACAAATTTCAAATATGCCTAAAAATAATGCGTTCTTGAAATTCGTTGCAAAATTCATTGAAAATTTCCAACAAATTTTACAACGAATTACAAATATACGGAAAAATAAGGTTTAATGGAAATTCGTTGCAAAATTTGTTGGAAATTTCCAACGAATTTTGCAACGAATTTCGAATAAGCCTAAAAATAATGTGTCCTTGAATTTGTTGGAAAATTCGTTGGAAATTTCCAACGAATTTTGCAACGAATTTCAAATATAAAGAAAAATAAGGTTTAATGGAAATTCGTTGGAAATTTCCAACAAATTTTGCAATGAATTTCGAATATGCCTAAAATAATGTGATCTTCCAATTCGTTGGAAAATTCGTTGGAAATTTCCAATGAATTTTCCAACGAATTTTCAAATATACGGAAAAAAGGTTTAATGGAAATTCGTTGGAAATTTCCAACAAATTTTCCAACGAACTTTTAATATGCCTAAAATTAATGTGTTCTTTTAATTTGTTGGAAAATTCGTTGGAAATTTCCAACGAATTTTCCAACGAACTTTGAATATGTCTAAAAATAATGTGTTCTTTGAATTCGTTGGAAAATTCGTTGGAAATTTCCAACGAATTTTCCAACGAATTTCAAATATGTGGAAAAATAGATTTAATGGAAATTCGTTGCAAAATTCGTTGGAAATTTCGTTGGAAATTTCCAACGAATTCAAAGAACTATCGACATTTTTGAAATTCGTTGCAAAATTAGTTGGAAAATTCCAACGAATTTTCCAACGAATTTGGACTACACAGGACAACAAAGTGGTTTTTAATTCGTTGGAAATTTCCAACGAATTTTGCAACGAAATTAGAACACAACTAAATTAATGCACCAAAAATTGCACACAACTAAATTAAACTTAAAAAAATTTGCGCAAATTACCATGTCAAGAAGACTTACCAAGTATTGATAATTTGATGAGAATCGCAGCGTTCAATTGGATTGGGAGACCTTCGAATGGACACGCATCTAAAGCCGCCACAGGCTCGCCCTCAACTCCCAGTCGGAGCTGCTGGACTCGGTCCCGGCGCTGTTCGCGCGGTTCGATGCGATTAGTCGGATCTTGAGATACTTGCCGCGGTTAGCAAGGCAGAAGGCGAGGGCGGCGACTGCGAGAAGGACGGCGAGGTGGACGGCGAAGAGGACGATGAGAAAGAGAGTTTGTTTAGCCAACAATATTCGGTGCACATGAAATGTTTGTTGCCGAACATATAAATATGTTTTTCTATTTTCGTTGCAAAATTCGTTGGAGATTTCCAACGAATTTTGCAACGAATTTAAAATTTCCAACGAATTTTGCAACAAATTTTAAATTTCCAACAAATTTCACAATTATAATTGCACCAAGCTATTTTCGTTGGAAAATTTGTCGGAAATTTCCGACGAATTTTCCAACGAAATCCAAAAATAATTGCACATAAAACCAATTTTTGTTGGAAAATTCGTTGCAAATTCCAACGAATTTTCCAACGAATCTAGTACAAACAAAAATTATTGAAAGGAATATCGAAATTCGTTGCAAAATTCGTCGGTAATTTTCCAACGAATTTTGCAACAAATTTTAAATTTCAAACGAATTTCACATTCTGGCCAATAATTGCACTGAGTTAGTTCGTTGGGAAATTCGTCGGAAATTTCCGACGAATTTTCCAATGAAATTGAAAAAATTGACCCGAAAACTTATTTCGTTGGAAAATTCGTTGGAAATTCCAACGAATTTTCCAACGAAGTTTGTACAAACAAAAATTATTGTGCCGAATATCAAAATTCGTTGCAAAATTCGTCGGTAATTTCCAACGAATTTTGCAACAAATTTCAATGAAACGGAACTATGGTGTTTAACATTTCGTTGCAAAATACGTTGGAAATTTACAACGAATTTTGCAACGAAATTGGTACATAAATAATTTAATGTAACCAAAATTTAAGTTCGTTGCTAAATTTTTTGTAAATTTCCAACAAATTTTGCAACAAATTTTAAATTTCCAACGAATTTCACATTTCTGCCCAGTAATTGCGCTGAGTAGTTTCGTTGGAAAATTTGTCGGAAATTTGTGACGAATTTCCCAACGAAATTGAAAAATAATTGAACCGAAAACCCATTTCGTTGGAAAATTTGTTGGAAATTCCAACGAATTTTCCAACGAAGTTAGTACAAACAAAAATTATTGTACCGAATATCGAAATTTGTTGCAAAATTCGTCGGTAATTTCCAACGAATTTTGCAACAAATTTACAATATTCCGAACAATTATTCATCTTTTTGAATTCGTTGGAAATTTCGTTGGTACTTTGCAACGAATTTTGCAACACCAACGAATTTTCCAACGAATTTTCCAGTATGGCGAACAATTTCTTTTTGAATTCGTTGGAAAATTCGTTGGATATTTCCAACGAATTTTGCAAGGAAAAATGTTTTAGTCGCAAATTTCCAATTTTGCACGAAAATATTTGTCGCTAATTTCCGACGAATTTTGCGACAAAATTTCTCGTCGCTAATTTCTGACGAATTTTGCGACAAACGCTAATTTCCGACGAATTTTGCGACAAAAAATTTCTCGTCGCTAATTTCCGACGAATTTTCCGACGAATAGTTTTTCGTCGCTAATTTCCGACGAATTTTCCAACGAAAATTATTTCCTCGCTAATTTCCGATGAATTTTCCAACGAAAAATTTTTCGTCGTTAATTTCCGACGAATTTTTAAATTCGTTGGAAAAGTTGTCGCAAATTTCCAACGAAAATTTTTTCGTCGCAAATTTTCGTGGCAAAAAACCGGTTTTTTTGTAGTGATAGTTAGACAAAGGAGACCTATAGTTAGGAAAGTTAGGTTTTGTTGGAATTTGTGATCCAATTGCTAGAATAGTGTAGCGTGTAGAAATATGTCAGAATACCTAAAACTCTGGTCTTGGGAGGTAGGTAAAGTTTATGGTTCTAGCTTAGTTTGGGCGAAATTACCAAAAAAGTCATAGACCTATTACACTTATGCAGTTCAGTTTCAAACCTTTCAATTGTACTAATTAAGTCATAAACCTTTTGACAATTTGCCAATTGAGTCTTAAATATTTTAATTGTGTCAATTCAGTCATAAACCATTTGACGATTTATCAATTTAGTTCTTTCGATCAGTTTTAGCTAGAAAAGGCTGATGTGGTTAATTTTTTTCATTTTTTAAGTTTTTTATTATTTTTCTTTTCATTTTTTTCTTTTCCAAATCTCGGCTTGCGAGGGCCGCGACGCCCCAGTCCAAACTAATCATGGGTTGCCGGCCCTCGCTTGTGGCCGGTGAGGATCAACCAGCGACTTGCAAGCCCTCGTCGGCCAAGAGTTGGAAAAAAAAAGCAAAAGAACAAAAAAATTGGAAAAAAGTTTACAAAAATGCAATACGTCAACATCGGCCGCGCCGTGTAGGATAGTTGGCGCTGACTAGACCGTAACGTTAGCGTTCTCCAGTCAAAATTGGCCGAAATGACTAAATCGTCAAATCGTCAAAATGTTTAAAACAAAATTGACATAACTTTTTTGTAATTCTCCCTCAAATTTATATGGACAGCTATTGTTTTAAGTTCTTTTATAGAAAGTCGACAATGTGATCAAGAGAAGTCCAACCTCAAGATAGAAAGGCAAATCAGCGTAACTTCTTAAGATTTGATAGTTAGACAAAGGAGACCTATAGTTAGGAAAGTTAGGTTTTGTTGGAATTTTTGATCCAATTTCTAGAATAGTGTAGCATGCAGAAATATGTTAGAATACCTAAAAATCTGGTCTTGGGAGGTAGGTAAAGTTTATGGCTCTAGCTTAGTTTGGGCGAAATTACCAAAAAAGTCATAGACTTATTACACTTGTGTAGTTCAGTTTCAAACTTTTCAATTGTACTAATTAAGTCATAAACCGTTTTACAATTTGCCAATTGAGTCTTAAATATTTTAATTGTGTCAATTCAGTCATAAACCTTTTCACGATTTATCAATTTAGTTCTTTCGACCAGTTTTAGCTAGAAAAGGCTGACGTGGATAATTTTTTTCATTTTTAAGTTTTTTATTATTTTTCTTTTCATTTTTTCTTTTCCAAATCTCGGCTTGCGAGGGCCGCGACGCCCCAGTCCAAACTAATCATGGGT